AAGATCTCTTTGATCTTCAAGATAAAAACATCAGTTTTGATATTCAACTGGCTCAAGAGAATCTTCCACATTCAACTGTGGGATATCAAAATCGTTATCCATAAAAACATTGTTGGACTCTATATTTTGTTCTTTTCCTTTCAAGGAAGCTTGATAGAGATCCACAAAGTGCTTTGATGTATGACAAGCACGTTCCCAATGGCCAGTCTTGCCACAACAATAACACATACTTTCATTCTTGGGATAATTTTCACGTTTTTCACTAGCACTTTCCCATTTTCGGTGGTAACTTTTATTTTTGAAGTTTTGACCACCATAACGATTTTGACCACGACCGGAATTTTTACACGGTATTTTTCATGACGACGACCGCGTCCATGGCCACGACCACTGCCCTTTGTATTTTCATTATAATATGATACCTCATTCAATTCAGGGAATGGGTTTGAGCCAGTAGGGCGTGACTCGTGGTTTTTCAACAACTCATTATTTTGTTCAGCCACCAGAACGCATGAAATCAATTGAGAGTATTTGGTAAAACTTTTCTCTCTATATTGCTGTTGTAGCACCATATTTGATGCATGAAATGTGGATAATGTTTTTTCTAGCATGTCATCATCAATAATTCTTTCTCCACATAACAACAACTGAGAGCTAATTTTGAACATAATAGAGTTATATTCGCTCACAGTTTTGAAATCTTGCAATCGCAAGTAAAGCCAATCATAACGACCTTTTGGAAGAATTACTATTTTCTGGTGATCATATCTTTCTTTTAGATCTTTCCAGAGTTGAAAGGATTTTTTCACAGTGAGATACTCATCTTTTAACCGTTGGTCAAGGTGATGGCGAATGAAAACCATTGCCTTTGCTCGATCTTGTATCGAAGCATTATTATTTTCTTTGATAGTTTCACCAAGACCTTTTGCATTTAGATGCATCTCAGCATCCAATACCCATGGCAGGTAATTTTTCCCGGATGTATCAAGTCCCACAAATTCAAAATTTGTAAGGTTTGACATATTGGTAATATTGAATAAAATATTATAAATTATATAAAGAAATATTACCTATGTAATGGTTGCACCCGAGACTTCGTGCTGATAACATGTTGTGAATATAATAATAATAGTAATATTATTATTAGTAAGATGCAATAGAATAGTAGCTATATTTTAGCTCAGTGAGAGGAAGAGAGAATTGCTAGCTTTCATATATTACTTCTGTGTGTTAATACAAGGAGTTAAGGAGGGTATATATACTATCAGGATCAGGAATAAACAAATATATAATTTGCATGACATGAGTAAATGTTAAAGCTAGTTTAGTTGGTTATTAAGTATATAACTTTGCCTTATTATGCATTAGGGTACGTGTTCCATTCTTAACAATTACATTTTGTTTTGTGTTCCTTCCGAGATCAGTCTTGAGCAAGATGTTTTATAATTATGAGCATAGAATTCTATAATTGTGAATATGAAATTCAAAAATTATGATTATAGAGTTTTATAATTGTGAATATAGAGTTCAATAATTGTGAATATGAATTTCAAAAATTATGAACATAGAGTTTTATAATTATGAACATAGAGTTCTATAATTGTGAATATAAAGTTCAATAATTGTGAATGTGAAATTCAAAAATTATGAACATAGAATCGTATCCGCCTTTATAGCATAACAATTGGAGCTGATGGGGCGTTGGTGGCATCTGATTTGGGCTTGTGGGCCATTACCAAATTTTTAGATTTGGTTTAGGATGTGACCAAAATTTTTGGGTATTTGTGGCATTTGGCGAGTGGGTTTGTATTTGTAAATTGAGTCAATGAATCATGTTTGGACTGTGGGGTTTAATTTCAATACTTATGCTGTGGAACCGTGTTCATCATGTGCATGGTGAATATGGGATATATCCATAATTTCTAAGTTGTTGATTCATAATTTCTATACTGTAGATTTATAATTTCTAAATTCATAATTTCTATACTGTAGATTCATAATTTCTATACTGTAAATTCATAATTTTTGTATTGTAGATTCATAATATCTGTACTGCAAAGATAAAATAATACGATTGTGAAGAGAGAAACATCGTTAACAATAAATGAAAAACAAAATTATAAATCTAAAGCATAGAAATTATGAATCTACCAATGTGTTCACCATGCGCATGGTGAACACGTTTTCACAGCATAATTTGTGATTTAATTTGGGGTTTGGAATATCTCCTTAAGCTCCATTTTGTGGGCCCAAAAGGTGTGGGTTAAGAGTATCAGGGAGACAAAATTTAGTTGTATCTCTTCTTATTAGCTGTAGTTCCTTACGGCCTTAACCTCTTTCAAAGTTACATCACTCATTGTTCATATCTTAGGGGATACCCTAGTGAGAGTTGTACACGTTTGTTAGTTTGGAATAAAAATTTACATTTACCCAAAGATTGATGGAAGTATTGTTGTTTTCTCGACAACTTTTTAATTCGTCAAGTGTGTCACGATGTTTTATTGTCTTATATTGACATTTTTAATAATGGTTTTAAATGTAACTATATAAGATAATCAAGGACGGAGCTAGTATGGGGGCAGTGGGAGTAGCTACCTCCACTCAGTGGCGGACCCAAAAATTTTGTCCATTGGGGGCAAAACATTATAGTTTAAAAAACAATGAAACACTTCAGAAATAGTCATAAATAATTAAATATTATTGAATGTAGGCGAAAAATAAAACACATTAAAACTTTATAAAAATACTCATAACAAAATATGAAACATAACTAATTTGATAAAATAATTCAAATAGAAAACACATTATAAATTACAAACTCATTATTAATATAAAAAAAAATTATATATATATATTTTTTAAAAAGTCATAAAGAAGTTGTTTTTTTGAAAACCATAAAGAAGTTGTTTTTTTGAAGGTAAACTGCTGCATATATTAATCAATTAAAGCTGAAACAAACATAGGAGGGTCATCCTCCCATGCCATAGAGTCTACCTGTGAGTAGGCTGCTAAAGCTAACGAATGTGCTAAAAAGTTAGACGTACGAGGAATGTAAATAACTGAGCACGAGATAAAAGAACTAAGCAAAACCCGACATGCAGCAGTTGGAAACTAACCATAAAGAAGTTGTTAAAACTTAAAAAAAATCAAAAATATATTGCTGAACAACAAGGAATTCGAAAGAAAACCATAAAGAAGTTGTTAAAACTTAAAAAAAATCTGAAATACATTGCTGAACAAGAAGGGATTTAAACTCCAGACCCTACATAGCATTAAAAGCACGCCTTGCCAACTTGCCCAACTCGTCTATTAGTTATTTTTTATTTGTTTTTTAATATATATATATATATATATATATATATATATATATATATACACACACACACACACACACATACAAGGGCTATATATGGGGTGGAGGTGGGGTGAGTGGACGCAGCTGCCCCCACTGCCCCACTGTAGGTCCGCCCCTGCCCCCACACCCCGCACCCACCCCTTTATATATATATATATATATATATATATATATATATATATATATATATGTATGTATATATTTATATATAGCATTAAATGGTATATAAAATTTATATTTATGTTTAAATTCATAATAGTTTGAGTAGCATTGTTAGTTGAATGTCAAATTTGCTCTTAAAAAAGTATATGGTCACAGGTTCAAATCTTTTTAACAACATTTTTCTTAACTTCACTTATTGTATCTCTTTCATTCTTTCCCAAGATAAATCAAATATTGTTAGTCTACTTTTATGAATCATTTAATTAACAAGTTAAATACATTTTTAGTCTAATTTTTAGTCTACATTTAATTAATGTAGTATACAAATTTATATTACACTTCATTGTATTTGAATTAATTTATAAAAACTTAAACTTGACCTAACTAAAAAAAAATTAAAATTAAAAAGTATTTATGAATATAGTGTTTTTCAAATTATTTTATCTAATTGATTATGTTTCATATTTTGTAATAAATATTATCACATTTTCACCACACTCAAGTATTGATAGTGCTAATTGCCACTGATGGTTTTAGGGTTTTCGGGCCCAAGGAGGTCCAACACAACCTTTGGCTGGAGGGTGCACCTTTCAATAAAATGTATGCCTATCTCGGAGATAATGCTAGTACTCGGAACCTTTTTGATATTCTCCCCCTCTGGGTGTTCCATTGTCTGTCCCTTTACAAGAATGGAGGAGCCTTTATATAGCGGCTCCTCCTATACCGACTTGAAGGCCCGTAATGGCCGACTTCAAGGCTAATTAAGATATGGAGCCGTTGGACGCCATTACTTGGTCGACCAACGGCTCTTCCAGGCTTGTAACAGCCTGACCGAGTCCTGCTTTCAATGCCCTAACGGCTCCCTTTTAAACGAGCCTCTTCAATGCTCTCAACGGCTCCTTGAACCGAGTCTTCCCACTGGGCTCCTCTTTAGTAGCTCTGAACCGGGCCCCGTGCTTGGGCCTGGGCCGGCTCCCGGACTCGGCCCGATTGCTTTTCGGGCTCCTCTTTACACTGGCCCACTTATCCTATCTATTTTCTTTGGGCCCCTATCTCTTGGGCCGGGGTCCTTACCCCATCAACTAGTCCCTCACTTTTCCATACCCGGTCCGCTAGCCTGGGTTTGGAAAAGTAGCAACTGTCCATCTCCCTCAATCACCGTATCCTCGCCTTGAATAGCTTTCGGTAACGTCCGGATCCTCAGCCATTCCCTCCAGATCTCGCGGCGCCGTTTGGATTCTTCCATCTAAACTTGGCACCTATAAATGGCGTCCTCCCTTCTCTTTCACCTTCACAAGTCTATCATGGGTCGTTCTCCTCTGAAAGGAAAACGGATTGACTTTGGGTCTCCTTGGCGTCCGCTGCCCTCCAAGCGGACTCGGCCTGAACGGGAACATAAGAAGAAGACTCCTCGCCCAGCCCCTCAGAGGTCTCCTGCCGGCGCTATGTCTTCAGCTTCTCAGCCGCCGACTCCTACTCGACGCGAGTTCGCTCCGCCTTCACGCCATCCGCCTACTCCCACGACTGCCCGAGTGACTTCTCAAGATGGGTCCTTTGTTGAGGTGGCGGTTCCAGAGCAACTTACTTTCAGAATGACCTTCTCGATTCCGCTGGACGACCTGGACGGGCCTGATGAATGATGAGGATTACGCCCGCTACCTGGAGGTGTATCCGGATGATGAGGAGCCAATTGCGCCACCACTCATGCCAGCTTTCTGGGACTCGTTCTGTCCATCCCCGCCTGGACCATCGGGGGGGTTCTTTGGGGGCGACTCCTCCTCGCCTGGCGAGTGATCGTATGTACCGGAGTCGGCCATAGTTCGGAGGAATTTCTTTTAGGAGCATTTTCATATTCCTTATTGTAATAAGCTCCTTGCCATTTGTATCCTCCTTTTTGCAATAATAATAATAATAAATGCTATCCTTGCCTTATGTTTTGTCGTGTTCTATTGCGTACTCATCTGGACGACTGGTCAAGGAGTCGGTCACGTCATCAGAATCTTTTCAGTCTGACACCTGCAAGATTCCCCATATCTTGGGCGAATCCAATCTTTTCTGTGTTGGCGTGCGAATCTCGCTCTTCTCGAGTGGATCTGATGGAACTAATCTCTAACAGAGATTCGCGTCATCCGTCTAATCCGGCTCAGTTATGTCAGTTATAATCTCCTCCGCGATTATCGCCTAGGTATTTGCCTTCGCTGGGCTATATAATGGCCCCTTTACAGTCGATGCAAATCGCAACATTCTCCACTTTGCGAAGGTATGGCGCTATGAGTTATAGGGACGGTGATCGCCGCTGGTCCATTCGTAACAAGGAGCATGCTCGTCTGGAGCAATTGAGGCAGAAGAGGTTGGCTAACGGAGGTCGTTTGGTGGGCGACTCGGCCTCAGACCCCATCGTGGTGCCTCCAGACATGCTGGACCTGATGTGTAGGGAGCCCATCGACGCGGAGATGGAACCTGGGGTGGAGATGGAGCCTGTGGTGGAGGATCCAGAACCAATGG